CTGTATAACCAACACTTGACCTGTATTTAACATCACGCAAGGACTCATCATAAGCTCCGCTTGCATATGAGTATAATGGAGATATATAATATATAATAATACTATCTAATGTTAAAACCATGTAATAAGATTGATTGAATTGATAATGAACTATCACAAAGTCTGGGTCTGATCGCAGACACAGTCACACAGTCAGTCTAGCTGCAGCAGAATGATGAGTATCAGCCTCTTTCTCATGCTAATTCTGCACTGAAATGTTATTCAGTGTGAGATAAAAACTTCTTTTATAACCTTTTCAGAAGTATTTCTAATCATATAAATACTGCATATATCAGCTGTATCAGCAGGTGAACAGACTCTAGAGACTGTTATCAACTCTGAAATCAATCTTCTATTAACTGCTAATTCAGAGACTTTGTTCTGCACTGAAATGAGCAGAGTTCACTAGTATGAAAATGATGCTTATCAACATGTCAGAATATTACATAATTGCATTACATTTAATACTATTTATTGCTCTGCAAATCTGACAGAGAAGCTTATCTGTCTGACTAGTAGTGACAGAATGATGATTACAGCTGATACTCTGTGATGTTACACTACATAATTGTATAACTGAATTGATGTGAAGAAAGAGAGTGCTCTGTGAAAATCTTGATTATCTTCACTCATCATCATTCATAATTCTTCAGTTTAATTGAGAAACTTGATAAAGAAGTCAGCACTCATACTGTCAATAACAATCTACAACTCACAATCTAGTTAAGTAATTCAATCACACTCTGCTACTATGCAGTTTGTTAACTATACTCTCTTGAATTCTGAACTCAAAACAGCTCTTAGATTTCTCAACAAGTTTGCTCTTTCTCTAACTCATACTCTTATCTCACTGTCTCTCAAATCTCATTTTCTGTACTCTGTTTTTCTCTCTCTGTACCTGTCTTCTCATTCTGACTCTCTCTTTCTTTCTTTCTCTGCATACTTTTCATCTGTTTTGAAAGCATCTTCTATGCTCTCTGAACTGCTGATGTCACATTCACTGTCAGCTTCTCTGTCTTTGAGAATCTCAACAAGTTTGTTCTTCACAGACAGTGAATTGAGTCAAGGTGATAATCTGAATTACTCACTGAATGACTTTGATGTGAAATTTATTAAGAACAGAATTCTCAGCTCTTCTGAGAACAAAGATGAGTGTATTATGAATTTAATAACTGATATTATTCTAATCTCTGTCAATCATGATTTCTTCAGTCACTGCTTGCAGCAGCTGTCTGATAAGGCAGACTGTGAAGATCAGAGTTTATTATCTCTGAATTTCTTTATTTTCCTCATTTCTGCCTTCTCTCAAAATCTAATCTTTAACATCAGTACTTATCATTGCTTAGAAATTATCATGAGCTCATCATCTGATTCAGAAGCTGATGATGATAACACTGCAGTCAGTGTTGAAACTGAAACCTGTGATCAATCTGAGTCATCTGTTTATTCTTTTAACAAAGATATGAACCTCTCTGCATCTGTGACTGCAGGCAGAGAGAAATTCTGCTGCATATTCAGTCTCAGACTTGAATCTTCTGTTGAGATCATAAAGGCTATTGTTATTCAGACTGTCTCAGCTCAGAGTCAAGAGAATACAAGTACATCTGTCTGTGACACAGGTGACCGGCACATTCAGAGAACATGTTCACATCAGTGAATGTAACAGACAATCTCAGTGCATGAAAGTTTAAAGTGTTAATTCTATCAGATGCTGAGAAGATTCTCACAGATCAAGATCAGTCATATCAGCAAACAGCTGATAAGTGTAAGTGTTCTGAATGCCTTCTCACACAAGTCTGCCAGCTCATTGAAGTGCTGATCTCAGGTCAAAAGTAACTATGATAAGATTACTGATATCTTGAATAATGATTACAATCTGAGTTATTCTGAAAATCAGTGATCAGAGTAATGTAACCTTTGCATACAGTTAAGTAACACAGTTACACACACTCTTCAGCTGTGATTTCTGTCTCATACACTGATGTTGACAGTGACAGATTGATCAGTCACTGAATAGACTTTTAATCAACAGCAGCTATTCTCAGAAGATGTCTCTGCAGTTGTTTCTATCAGAGCAGTGAAGCTTCTTGAGATTCTAAAGAGCTCTGCAGTAACTCTCTCAGCAGTCATGAATTAGTGAATGACTGTTAACAACTCACAATCTTTGACTGAAATGTGTGCTGAGCTTGTCAGAAAGAAGAAGAAAGTCAGATGAATCTAAAAGAATAATAAGTAACTGAGATTCTTACAGATCTGAAGCTGATACTGATGAGAGATTAAGTAGTAGTTCTCTTACTGAATAGTAACTGCTCTGCAGCAGTGATGTATAAAGCTTCAGATACTGAGCAACTTAGTTGACTAATATATTTAAAGTTACAGAAGATGTATCATTGCTTTAAACATTATGACTTTAACAGACAACTCTCTGATAACTTTCTGCAGAAACCTACTATTCTTCTAAAATTGTTAAATACTGCTAGACTGACCGTGTGACCGTCTCTGAGACCAGGACTAGATTTTTTAATAGTCTCATTACTAATTCAACTGATCTCATTACATGGTTTTAATATTAGATAGTAGTTTCATACTGTCTTAGTGAGACTTACTGTCTACTCTTATTACATTTTTCAAATGAGATCATGATTTTCACTTCTCAATTTAAATTATTTTTATTGCTTTAAATGACTTTAAATCTTATTTAAGCATTATCAAAAAGTGTTACTTTTTAAAAAATTAAAAATAGTCTAAAAAAACCTTAAAATGTCTAAAAATAGTAACTTTATGCTAAGAATGAGACTAAATGAAATCAAATGAGACTACTTTCTTATTTTTTTCAAGTCATGATTTCATTTTAAGATCTGATATATAGTCACTTTACATGTTTTTTTAATGACTAGTCTCAGTGAAATTCATGTTAAGAAATGTATAAGATCAGATTAAATAAGACTAAATGTGAAATTCATAATCTCAGCAGCTAGTTTAAATACTGCTACTGATATGAACTAGTAGAATGATATACAGAGAGAGTTGACATCTGATCACTTGATATTATTATTCTCTGATTTGCATACAGTCTTTCTCATTCTAATTAAGAGTTAGACAGTATCATGTCTTCTTCTCTGCTGTGTACAATCACAATCTGAATGATAGTCACTTCTTATATTCTCTCACTCTCATCTTCTGATGTATATATATACAAGACTTTCTTCTTCTCTAGGTCAGCCTATCTTTGCACTTCTCAACTTAACATGAGCTCTCTCAGTCTGATTAGCAGTTAGAGCAGTATTTCATGTCAACAGCTCTCTGTCATTCTGATACATGATCTCATGATCTTCTTCAGCTATTAAGTATATATATAATCTCTGTCTCTGTCTGAATTCATCTTTCTTTTTATTTCTTTTCAATCTTTTGTTCACTGCTGTAAGAAACTCACTGAGAGTTCCTGTTTATGTGAGCTAAGACATCTGACTTAATATCAATATTAGTGTCAATGAGTATATTTCTTTCTTCAATATAATCTGTTATCATTCTTCTTCATCTGCTCACAGTCTCTGATCTTTCTCTCACAGACTATCAGTCATGATCTCTGCTGAATCTGAACCCCGCAGCATCATTGTCATTAACAATACAGATATAGAGACAGATACATCTTCACTCTCATTATAAGAGCTACAGAGAAAGAGATGTCTAATAGACTATAGTCTCTCAGAGTATAAGACTCTTTTTAATAATACAGTACTTATTAATGCTACTTCTGCATCTGAAATATCATCATTATTAAAGAAATGTAAAGTGCTCAACTTATTCTCAGTTCTGATAGAGTTCTTCTCTCAGCAAGATGCTTTCTTTACTGATATTAAGATAGAAAACAGTAAATCAGGAAATCTGTGAAGTTGTTAATATAAAGAATGCAAAGATCAAAAAGCTGAAGAAACAGATCAGTGAGCTTCAGACTGAAAACTGTGAGCTGAGATATCAATGTAAATGCCTGATCTGTTATAAAATCTCTGAGAAGTAATGAACTCTTTTGTGTGAATATAGATTTTGCTCAGAATGTGTTTCCTCTGATGCAGAGACATGTGAATTATACTGTCAGAATAACATCAGTTATATCAAGAGTTACTAAATAGAAAACAATTGAGAGTCATGCTTTTACAAATGAGAGTGAGTATACAATGTCCGCTACCATGATAATGAGTGAAGAGATCTTTGACTATGTAGATGAATAGAGTTTAACATGATGTTTTCCAAAGTATTATTCTGTATTTCAGACAGAGAAGAGTAACAGAGGTTCATTTCACCCTTCTCTGTAGAAGGTAAAATAGTGATAGAGAAAGACCAGGCAAAGTAGGTCAAGCAGCGCGGCAGGCCACTCAAGCCTAAATAGGGCACTTGCTGAAGTTCATGGTATCTTTTTTAACCATATGTTCAAACTGTTCTACTGTGTCATTTATTTCTTTTTCTTCTCTTGCTGATGTATATAACTTTCTCAGAAATACTATTGAAGTATGAATGAATGATTTCTTTTTTAACCTCTCAAGATTTGCTAGTGATTCTTCTGTGATGCGCATTTCATGAACTATATATTCTTTGCACATTCTTTTGTTTTGGCTCTGAGAAGGGAGAGTTTTCGGGTATACCAAGCATGGGGGGAGCATGATGACCGGTTGAATCAATATCTAATGAGAGGCGGTTCCAGACTTCACACTTGGAAGGAGGCAAAGGTATTTCTGAAGAAATTTCAAAAGCTCAGCCAGACCCCAGGTATGACAGCTCGTTGAGACACATCTGTTAGAGTGGCTTGTTATTCGATTAGGAGAGGGCTAGCTAGTCTAACTACATAGAGAGGGGTTGGGAACCACGTGAGAGGGGTGAGCTGTATTACGTAACAACCTCGCTATCCGGAGATCTCGTGACCGTCGGATAAATAATAATCCACAAATTATTCTGACTGCCTGCCAGCAATATGTCATGCCTCCCTTCGAATGACAACAATACAGCAGCATCTACAGCAAACTCAGACTCCTCGCTTTCATGTCAGAATGGGTGAATTCATTGCTTAGAGAGGATAGGCTCCTACAATGGACGATTATCAGAGACTCGTCGTGGCTCAATTCTTCGAGCCACTACCAAACCTCTCCCAGATATCGTGCCACCAGTTTGTCTTGCATCATATTGCCCCGATCCTTCTTCCCAACACTACCGGCAAGGTAGACGTTCAACCTAGCCCTTTCCAGGGAAGCATGAGCTACACCGCTATACTACATACTCATTCCACGCATGCTGATCATCGCATTGCCGTCCAGTTCCGAAGCGACAAGCAAGACCTCTTCGGAGTCACCGAAGCTAGCCGCATTCATGGATCTCTTGTGCCCTTGGTAACATACCAGGGCATGTACGAAGGCCTCTTTGTGTATACATCACCTTTTGCAGAAGGGACACCGTACATCAGTGTCTTGATGTCTTCTCAGGACTTTAAACTGCCGCTCCAAAAGAAGATGGTAACTGTCATGGACCTTGCAGACCTCGTCACTCGGGGAGCCAGAGCGAACACTACTATATCCGACACTACTATATCCGACCTCACCTCTACTCTTGAAGAAATTCACCATACGGTCAATAACTACACTTTCCGACACAAACCCCTCAGAAACAGAATTTCTGCTTGTATCAGCAAGCTCTTACCACAGCTACGCGATCTTGCTGCCCTCCCTGTCACCCTTACCCACCAGGATCTCGCCCCATTCAATTACCTTATCGACGATTCTACCGGTCGGGTTCAAGCTGTACTGGACTGGGATGGTGCTCTATATCTCCCAGTTGGGTCGAATTTCTATTTCATGGATAGCCTTTTCGGGTTCATGACCCCAAGTGGTTGGCAGGACACGGAGGATCGTCAGGAACTCGAGGCAGCGTTTTACAATCGGGCTCTGGCTAGTCTTGCTACACAGGGGCTTGGGGGAGTAACAAGAGAGCAACTGGAGTCGCAGAAAGCGATCGGGATGTTGCTGTATGGTGTGGAACGGCTTCTCAAGTTCAAAGACGAACGAGCGGAGCACTATCTAGATGGATATCTTCGGGGGTTATCTTTCATGAACGGGCTCATGTTCTCGTATTAGCTCAGTATCTGGACGGGACCTTGATGCGTGGGAGTCTAAGAATATGTATATTCGAAAGGATATTGAGAGCCATGCCGGCATCCGAGGAAATAGAAAACTAGCAATGTATGATTGCGCCTGTGCTCAATTTCTAGTTCTAACAGAGATAGCGAAACGAACACTCGAGGGGGCGCCCTGGCAAAAGATGGATCTTGATGCAGGAAGGGGGGAGATTCTTAAAACTAAGACTCTTCTCCGGCAGCATCTAACCGGGGCATAACCTTGACTTCATGCTCAGTGTAGGGCTTCGAATCCCGAAACACCTTGTGATTGCCAGAGTTCATAGGGGCACAGACGTTATTCCCCTTGCACTCAACAATCCCGTGTTCATTGACATGGAAGCTCCATCCAGTGATGACAGGTTCACTCGCCTTAATCTCTTCTTCGGGGGTAAGGCGAAGAGGGACACTGATGGTGCCGCGTCCACTAGGATGTGTGAACTCAACGAAGTCTTCTCTGTCTGCACAGTTCGGGATGATCGAGAACCGTTTCTCGAGGCTGTGAGCTTTGAGAAACTCGGCAAGGTCCGAAGCGAAAGCTGTGTCGATCTGAGTTGCCTCGCCGCTGGCATCGTACTCGAATGCCTGGAACATTCCATTTCGGTTGAGGAACCACGAGTTCGGCGCAATCTTGTCCATGTCGACGCTCGAAATAGTCTTTGGGATGCAGATATCAGACTCGGGGGACCGGACCTCGTGAAACATCACAGTTCTGTCTTGGAGTGTGTCGTGGCGATGGAGAAGCCCGACTCCTAGCTTCATATGCATGCTGTGCCTGACAAAGATATCCGCGATAGCTGTCAAGGTCGCCTTGTCCACCTCCTTTTCCTGTTCTTCGAAGGTCTTGATTGTATTGAAAGAGAGGGCATCCAAGACAGCACTCTCTACTGCGACAGCCATGATATTGGCAGGTCTCACTGTTTTATCATTGATGTTAGCGATTACTGCTTGCAGGACGGTAGGTGACTCAAGCACCTGTGCGTTACTCTTTACGTCGATGAAGATAGGGCAGAAGTGATGCTTGACATTGAGCGGAATATGCAATACCTTCTCGTGACGTGGAGATATGAAGCCCACAACAAGCGGAGTGATCAGTATGCTTCGATGAAAATTTTGCGCTGGGCAACTAGCCTGGGCCAGGAGAGAATGGAAGAAAGCGGAAGGGAAGGAAGGTCTGTATTTATCTGAGAAACGGTCAACATTGGTAGAGTCGGGGCAGGCCAAATATCGCGTCAGCGGGGAACCCTGTCATCAGGCATGATAAGTCCAAAATTGCAGCGGCTAATAGTCCCATCTCTCCGGAGTGATGGAGAGCAAAGATCCACTCCAGCTGAAAAAGATTTGAGCCGCAACCACCTATTCTTGGCCTGAGAGCTTCTTGGGTCCTGCTGACGTGGCCTGCAGCACGGGGTTTCGCAATGACAAATATGCTGCACGAACGGTGAACTGTGGAAGGAAATAGATGGTAATTTGAACAGCCATGCAATTCGTTAGCTCGAGGCTGTGCCCTTGTTTCCCCGCCAATGACGTTGGTTGAGATCCGCTTCGATCCGCCAATGAGGGGAGAGTTCTCCCAGAGCCCAAACATTCCCGCGATCTGTGGCTGACTTCCGGGCCGCTCCGTCAACGAAGTGGGCTACTTCAGATCGTTGCTGCTGCCTTGCGAACGGGAAGGCCGGAACTGACCTATGTGAACCAAACGATTGGCTATGGGTGGGATTTCCCTCCGCTCTCGTCATTCAATGACGACTCAACACTCCGAACGCCAAGTTAGATGAATGCCCGTCGTGCTTGGGTTTGACTACTGCTCGCGGATTTTGAAGCTTACATTGAGTGAAGATTCGCGGTCGACGACAGGATGATTGGTCATCAAGTCTTGGCGGTAAACCTTGGCACAATGTACGCCCGACGATCTCAACGTCGAGGCAGCGGCCTTACCTGCATCTCCAAAGTGGGGGGCATCAGCCTTAAATTCGATCGCAATGCTCATTGCATTGTTTGGAGAATAAAATCAGTGCCTCTACAAATGGAGCCCAAATGATGGGGCCGAAGAGATCAAAAAACCATTCAAATTTCTAACGGAGACTGATTACACAAGCAGGGGGTAGAACAATTCGCAGTAAGTGCGTACGCTAAATGCAAAGCATCGGCTCATGTGCATTTGCCTTCAGTTTGGAAGCTTGGGAGACTTGTCGCTAGTTGTGTGGCTGGCCGCATCGCCAGCAGTGCCAAGGGACTCAGTGGCACGGATCCTCGGCTTCTTTCCGCGAGGCCCTTCTTCTCCATATTCAATTGGAGCCGCGAAGCTCCATTGGACATCTTGATGCTCATCAGGCTCCGTTGAGCCATCGGAATCATCCAAAATGGGTGTCAAATCAGAAGCCGCCTGGTTCTGGGAGGTAGAAGAATGTTGAGAGCAAGCCTCAGAGAGTCTTTTGTTTGCCATCCCAATAAATTCATCCCTCTTTTCCTTTGCCCAATCTCGGGCGTTTCGATATGCACAAGCTCCTTGCCGAAACATCTCAGAGGTATCAGTCAGGGAATATGATCGAAGCTGGGTCATAAAATATTCGGGATGACTATCTGGAATTTTAGGCTTTCCAATGTGGGTGGTGTATAGCTTTAGTGTACCGCCATGATAAATCGAGGTAAGAGTGTAAGCATTGCGATCGTAGGTCGGTCCATCTTGCTGGTAGAATTGTAGAGAATGCATACCCCGAGCTCCCAATGCACCATCATAGCATGCCTGCCGCGTAGCTACAGAGAGAGATCCATCGGGGCCCTTTGCCTCCAAAAAGAAGTTCGGCACCATTGGGAGATCATCCTGCGTTGATGGGACAATATGGCGACTAAGATCTTCGCGGATTTGACGATTGAGCTGTTCAGGTCGCGCGCCATAGAAGTGGTCAGGTTTGCCTGAAGCTAGTGTACCATTAGTTAAGGGCGAAAGGTTTCCAAATGGGTAATCCCCTCCGACACATTTACGATCGCCGATATCGCCATCAATAATCGGAATCACCAAACTTATAACCGGCTTCTCCTTAGATGCATGTGCATCTGCACGGGCAAAGTTTTCGAATGCCTCCTCAGAGAATCTTGATGGTGAAAGAGAAGCTCGGGGTTGAGCCAATCTTTCATTGATTTCTTGCAGGTTTCTCGGTTTTTCTGGTCTTTGGCCATCTGGATACTCGTAACCGTGCGGGTAAACTCCGTGGTCAATTAAATGCTGTTGAAAATTCCTACTAAAAGCTGAGGTGCTCGAAGTTCTTGTGGTTGCCTTTGTGCCTCTCGAGGTTGATGACAGAGGAGATTCTGCTCGACGTTTCCTACGGTGGGAACTGGGTGTCCTTGAGCTCATCGGGATAGGGTACTAGAACCAGGTTAGTACCTCCAGGATGGGTTTGAGTTCAAAGTAACATACATTTCTCAAATCAGACAGATCAGGCCCTCCCAATCTCGAGAATCTCTTTATCTCCTTTGGGTGACTAGATGAACAATCACGGAGAAAGCCAGGAAGTAGGACAGGCTCTTCGGGACAACGACGGTAAAGTTTTTGACCAATGTGAAACTGCCGAGTGATGGGCCTATGAAGCGGTCGCTGCAGATCTGAAGAGCTGTTTTGTCGGTCGAATTCTTTTATCGCACTCCTGGTTAAATGAACATTTGACAAATTATCCCAATAAGCTTGGGGGTGGCAGGATTTCCGTCTCTTCGGCTGATGGTCCAATGTTTCAGAAGGATGTTCGAGATGCTGCCGCTTGCAGGGATGATGGAGTGTTTCCAAAGAAGGCATATGGTGCTCAGAGAGAGTTGACGCTTCGAGGAAGTAAAAAGGAAGAGCAAGAAAGGCTTTTAAATAATTCAACAGAGGTCCAACAACGTTGCCGTCAAGGTACGAAATGTGCCACACTGAAACACGATTGCAAGGGCTCTGTGGAAGGCCAAGGCCCTAACCCAAAAGAGGATTAGTCGTTTAATGGGGATGATCGACAGAAATTCAGAGTCTAGGCTGAAATTGGTTAGCTTATTGTGATGGGTTTTTGTCCCCTCCCATTTGCCAGCGAAAGCCCTTCCTGCGGGGTAAGAGTGGAAAAATTTTTGAGCGAGCGGGCAGCAATTCAACAGAGCCTTTCGAGTTCGTGCTTGCGCCAGTTGGTGAACTGGTTTCCTCCATGCATTGGTGCCTAATGCGCCGGAGGCATTGCCGGATGAAGAAAGCAGTTTGCTCGCCCCATCATTCAATGTTGTTCCAGACAAAACACATTTATTTGCTGGCTGCTCAACCTTCTACGTCATTCACCTCATGACAGCCTTACCTTGAATTATATTTTTTATCCTTTTTTAATCGGGCCATGTGATCATATCTGTGAAAAGGTTGATATATTGAGTTGTGTTTGAGAGCACTATCAATGACTTGTCATCTCGGATACTGTTCCTGTAAAATCAAACAATAAAGAGTATCATTCTACTTCAATCTCTTCATATAGCAGCATTCTACCATCGCTATTCAATCACATTAAATTAAGAGAATATCTAGCCTGATCGGGCCGGTCAACTTCATTGAATGAGAAAAAGCAAACATCTTCAGTTGCTGTATTTATCCTCTTTTTCAGTGCTTCAAGGATTTGAATATTGTGCTTCAGTATAGCACCCGAGTGCATACTCAACTCATCTCTCTTCTATTCAAACTGTATTGGCATTTCAGAGGCACTCTTTGATGATAAATACTTTTATTTGTGTTTTTTTCTCATCTAATAGCTCATTAGGCCTTTGTAGAGAAAGCTCTCACTTCAATGATAGACTTTGAGAATGTCAAGATAAACAGTGTTACAATGATTATCAGCAGAGAGCAGATAGTATACTGAAAGAGATGCAATGTTACTGTTCTTGAGAAAGATAGTGCAGAGAAGAAATAGTTCAGAAAGCTTGTTAATATATTTAATAAGCAGAAACAGGTTGAATCTGATACTAAGTTGTATATCACTGATGAAAAAGTCAAAGAAGTGTAGAAAGACAGTTGAGAGTTCTGTTTACATTCTAGATATATAGTTTGTTTTGTATTTTAACATCATCTTCTAAACTGAGAGTCAAGTTGATAATAGTCTCATTTCTTATAAGTATCATTAACACATACTCTGTTACATGCATTTCTTCTGCCAGTTTCTTTCTGTATATTAAGCTTTCAGCAATTGCATCATGTATCTCAGAACTGAATATATTGACAATAGCTTTATCAGAGACATCTTTCAATATTACTTCAGAGTTGAGAATGATCAAAGTAATATTATTGTTTAAGACAAGATGCTGAACTTAATTCACTCATTTTAATTTTGCACTGAATAATACTATTATAATTCATTTCATACTTTATTCACTGACTTTCAGACTCATGAGACAATCAACTGTTTCTGCTCAAATAGAGAACACTGTTATCACAGCAGCTTTTAATTCATCTCTAACTATGAATCTTCTGATTGTGAATGCCATGTCTTGACTAAAGGTTTTCACAACTGTTTGCAAGAAAGTATTTTCAAATACTCACTGTTCTGATGCTGAATTAAAGTTCGGATTGTTTGAGATTTCAGGTGTTTTCAAAAGCTCAAATTACACCTCATTACAAGAAATCTCACTGATAGAGTCAGTTATTCTGAATGTTCAATTACATCTCAGTGTTTCTGATAGATCAACTGTTATTGAAAGACACACTGAGCCTGCATAGTTATAATTCATGACTTGTAATAAGCTGCATGAGCTCTGGCTTATAAGAGGCTCAGTGTATTCAATTCTCTTATCTTCACAGATCATCTTTACATTCTTCATCAATTATTTCAGATGATCAACACTGAACTACCAAGCTTGAAGTTTCAGAATGATTTCAAGATAACTCTTCTTAGCTAGCTCTGTAGATGTGTTACAAAAGCAGTATAAAATCAAAACAGAAGAACTGAATCTTGCTATTCTTCAAAGAATCTCTTATGCATTCAATTTTCTTTCTCATGTGATGATTGATAAGTTGAAAGTAGATAAATCTGCTTAATACAGCTTTGCAAAGACAGAGAGTCATCTGAATTAACATGTCACTGATTGATAATTGAGAGTATAAAACATTAACCTTTCTTCTTTGCTAACTAACCTAGCATGGACTGCAATGTAGGCAAGACAGTGCGAGTGCAATGATTAAGATTGAGATGAATGACATCATAAGTATATAAGAAGTCAAAATCTCCTTGAAATCTTAAGATAATGAATGAATTGATTCATTAAAAGTGAATGTTGTAAGAAGTCTTTTAAATCACATATCTTATCACTTATTATATTATTGCATGTCTATTACAATATCTGAAGCAATGAAGTTCAGCAGTAAGACTCTCAGTGTTCTCACACCTGCTTTTTCAACCTCAGCATCTTCTTCTACCACTCTCAAGAATGAAAATTTTCAGTATACTCTCTCTGATAGTTCTGTGAAGCTGCTTCATGAAAAATTTATCAAAGAGAAAATGAAGTCACCTGTTTGAAAAGCCTTTCATGAGCTAGAAGATTCAGAAAATTCTTCTCAGAAGAATCTGAAAGAGCTACATCATACTCTTTCTAAAATGACACTCAATGAGAAAGGTAATCCGGGCTCTTCTTCTCTCATTACTATGAATCAATTGAAGAAGTTATTCAAGTCTGTCATTGAGCAGCGAGCATTCTCAGAGATGAAAGATAAAGAGCCTGTTAAGTCAGAGAACAATGAAAAGAAGAAGGAAATCACATGAATTCAGGCTTTAAAGCTTGAGTTCAAAGCTGTCTGTGAAGTGTATATTGTCATTGTAACTCTTTTTCTCTCATCTTACTGATATTTCACAGCTGAAATGAAAAAGTGTATGAGTACAAGATTGTTAATTCACCTCCAGCCACAGTTATCAGTGAACTGAATGAATATATATTTGTCACTCAAACATGCATTGATGAGTGCAGTGATGCCTTAATTAAATACAGCTAACATAAGAAATAGATTGAAGAACTCATGAATCTACAGCATATATTAATATCAAATCTGTTGATTTGTGTGACATTTTGAGAGATATATTGCGGGATGTCAGATCGGTTAGCCTGGCAGAGAACAAATCACAGATAATGCCATACTTCCTGCCTATTAGCTTCTCTTCTCACACAAGTATTAGGTTGAGTAAAACATACTGTATCACTTTCTTCCTGAGTTGAAAGCTCATCAGAAGTTCATAGCTGATGACGAACTCAATACCTCTGAGTGGAAATATGTTGACCTCTTAATTCAACATCTTCATAATGTATACAAACCTCTCACTGAGCATCTTCATTTACTTCTCAATAGCAGGGAAATCACCTATGACCTGCTCTGAGCACTGTTCAAACTCAACATGCCAGTATTCACAACCTGCAACAGCTCTGAGAAGCCTAGATGCATCAAATACGACTTTGATATAGAGAAGATTATGATGCAGAGTGTGGAATATTTTGAAGTCAATGGCTGCTATCTCGACTTTGACAGTAAGGTGTTTGGCGAAGCCACTGAGACTATGATCATCAAAAAGTTCTATGAAGCTAAGCAAATCAAGAACTTATCCGCCTTCTTCCTTGAATACCATGAAGAGAATATGAGAGAGCAACTTATAGCATGCGGACAAAAGTTTGTCTCTATGATGAGTTCTCATCATTGCTTCTATGACAGAGTCGCCTTTTATCAAGTGAAGCAAGACCTGAAACGCATTTCTGTCAAGGGCAGGATCATGATTGATGCTCCGTGTTTCCGCAAGAACTGCCTCAATTATCCCAGGTTACATATCAAAAAACCCGAGGTTATGGACCTGTTTACCAGTCAGAGCATACAGCACTCTGCTTGTCAGGTTAATAGCAACAGGATGAATACATTGAAGATGCAAGAGAACCACTTCCTCATCTGCAGTCCCACAGTACTGGGGTTTACACTTATGAGAAAGTGCTGAGGTAAGTCACCGGGCCATTAGCTATCAGAGCATCTGACTGATAGAATTGATGTAGCAGAATTTGCAGTCAGTGATGTTCAGGACATCAAGTACTTCATGACACCTTTTAACTCACTTGTCATGCCCGCGGAGAAGAAAAAGGTGATCATGACACTTGCAGAGAGTGTGAACCAGATCAAGTCAGCCAGGCTTGACAATGTCATTGCAGAAAAGGGGCTAGGTGTCATCATTCTACTACAGTATGTCTCCATGTTCAGCACCAGAATCTTTATAGTATGTGCTAAACATAATCTAGCGGGCCCTCTAGTGTTGGGAAAACTCTGACAGCGGAAGCCATTGCAGAACATCAACAGCGCCCATTGTATTCAGTATAGTGGCCTAAATTAGCCGCGCATCTCACAGGCTAACAGTTTCTAGGTTTCTGCTGATAAATTAAGTACAGATGCAGGAGCATTGGAAATACAGCTCTCTCAGATTTTCCAAATCACTAGTCACTGAAATGCAATTCTACTTCTTGATGAAGTGAATGTCTTTATGCAGCAATGAAGTTCATTGCAGCTAGAGTGGAACCAACTGATGGCAATATTTCTTCATCTTCTTGAGTATTATGAGGGGATATTTTTCCTTACAATCAACCTCATGAGCGACTTTGATGCTGCAATTTTGAACTGAGTTCACCTTAATCTGAAATACCACAACCTGGCACCTGCTGCAAGAAAGAGCATCTTTCTTAACTTTTTAGATGCGACAGGAATCAAAATAGACAAGGCAGAGCTAGATATTTTCACAGAAACAAAGCTTAATGACTGACAGGTAAGATCAACCTCTCATTGCATCACACTTACTCATCTAAATCATAGATTAAAAACATGGTCAAGCTCGCACACAGTATTGCTTTTCAGAAAAAGGTATCACTGTCAGCTGCTCATATCCGCATGACACTCATTGCCAATAATTGAGATATTTCACATCAAAGTAGCCTTGGTTTTGATGATAGTCTATATCAGTGAATGGCGGCTGTATTCCAGGTGCAGCAGTTTTGAAATAGAATTGCAATGAATTTGTTTAGTTATAGTAACAAATGAACAGAAATTTTAACAGTTCTGCTGAGGCTTTTGATGACAGAATTGATGACTCTTCTTCACAATGGCAAAACTATGAGGTCTTTACCTCCTCAATCACTCATTCAACCCAAGTTGTCTTGGTGACCTGGCTCAGAGAATTGTTAATTCATCAAAAAAATGTTCCACCTGATCTGCCTCTCTTTTATATTGAGATACTCTATTCTCTTTGCTGATTCCCAAAACAATCTTCCACTGCCATGAAGAATGACCTCAGAAAACTTCATTCTACCCTGCGACGGCTCTCCCTGCCTGTTGCCCGATACATATGTCGTTCGAAAGAGCATAGGTGCAGGTGATGATGAAAGATGCTATATTTGTTTTGAAGGCTGGAAAATAGAAGGTGATATGGTACAGCTACAGTGCTGTAACCACTGGTTACATGAAGACTGTCTGTCACAGTCGGTACTGAATGGCCGATGTCTCACTTGTCAGATCTCGCTTTCTTCATTGAATGATGAGGTGATTTTAAGGGATGCGGCTGCTGTCAGAGACATTGAGAAAGTTAAGCAGCTCCTGGAAAAACATATATGTCAGTCAACATGAGACTTTTATGGAAGGACTCCACTGCATTTAGCTGCTTTACATGAACATGAAGTGATGATCAAGGTGTTGCTGGATAATGAATCAGACCTGGGCATTGTTGACTACAAGCAGCAGACCCTGTTACACATTGCAGCTTGTCACTTCTCTTCCAGTATTGCTGTGATTCTCGTCGAAAGGGGAGTAGTTCTTGGTGCTTGAGACAGGAAGGAAATGACACCACTTCATCTTGCTTATCAAAATGGCATTGAGAGAAATATAGAGTACTTACAAGAAAAAGAGGCCGATTCAGATGCTAGAAATGACAATGGGTTTACTTCTCAGATGCTTCACAGTTTGTATACAAGATTGTTATTGTCTTTTCAATAAAAGGCATGAAACAAGGCACAGCCAGCCTCTCATTGCTGATACTGCATCCCAAGCCCACTCTTCGCATGAAGCCAATCACCACCACTGCCCTGACCACTGGCTTGTCAGAGTTTGATGATTATGAATAATTCAGTATGTCGGGCTTTTGATGCAGCTGGAGAAAAGTTCAAGAACACAAATGGTGAGAGTCAGAGCAGGCAGTCAAGAATGGTGAACTGGGAGGAAGGGAGCAAACTTTAGGACAAAATTTCATAGCTTCCCTCAGGCACTTTTATTCTTTGATAAGCTGTCCAGCATCTGAACTTTTTCCGGCCGCAGCACAATTACAAACCATGAGCCTCCATGGCCTGCCCCAATCCTTCCAGCACTCTATTCACGCAGACCACGAACCACAAGCCTCTGTGGCCCGCCCCGATGCCCGCAGCATTCCATCTATACAGACCACAAACCACGAACCTCTGTGGCCCGCCCCAATCCTCCCAGCACTCTATCCACGCAGGACCACAAACCATGACTTCAGTGGCTGGCCCCGGTCCCCCCAGCATTGTATCTCTATAGGCCATGAACTATGCAGCTTTATGGCCGCTTCCAGTGTTTGGTCTATGTGAACCACCAACCATGATCTGCAGTGGCCGGCCCTAATGCCCCCAGCATTCTATCTCTATGAGCCATGAACTATGCAGGTTATGCAGGTTCGTGGCCGTCCCCAAGGCTCCCAGCGTTGTATTCACGCGGGACCACAAACAACAGCTTCAGTGGCCATCTCCAAGGCTCCCGGCATTATATCTTCATGGGCCATGAACTATGCAGGTTTGTGGCCATCCCCAAGGCCTTCAGCATTATATCTCCATGGGCCATGAACTATGCAGGTTCATGGCCATCCCCAAGGCCCCCAGCATTCGATCTATATGGGCCACGAACTATGCAGCTTCATGGCTGTTCCTAGTCTTCTTCACTTATGCTCTACAATCATGATTATCCCCAGTTTAGTCTGTATTTTTTGTGGTGATGTGGCTGTCCCTAGTGTGCTCTGTGTCTCTACTCCTTTCCATGTTATTTACTTTCTTTCATGGCTGTCCCTAGTGCGCCCTGCGTCCCTACTCCTTTCCACATTATTTACTTTCTTCATGGCCGTCCCTAGTGCGCCCTGCATTCCTACTTCTTTCCACAAAATCTGTAGAAGTTACAGTGGCTGTCCTTAGTGCACCCGGCGTCCCTACTTCTTTTCACATTATTTGCTTTCTTTGTGGCCGTCCTCAGTGCGCTCAGCGCCTCTACTTCTTTTCATGTTATTTACTTTCTTCATGGCTGTCCCTAGTCTACTCTGCATCCCTACTCCTTTCCATATTATTTGCTTTCTTTGTGGCCGTCCCCAGTGCACCCAGGGTCTCTACTCCTTTTCATGTTATTTACTCTCTTCGTGGCCATCCCTAATGCACTCAGTGTCTCTACTCCTTTCCACATTATCTGCTTCCTCATGGCTGTCTCTAATCCTCTTCATGTTCCTGCTTCTCTTCATGTGTTTTGACACATAGTGGCTGTCCCTAATCCGGTTTTCCTCTCTACTGCTCTCCACATAATTTGTGTTCATCTGGCCGTCCCTGGTCTTCTATTGCTTTCCATACAATCTAGGTTCCTCATGGTCGGCCCTGATGCCCCCGGAATTTTACCTTCTTGGGCCACAAACTACAAACCTCTGTGGCCGTCCCTACACATCTCCACCTAGGCTTGACCATCATGGTTATCTCATAGCTGTCCCTACTCCTCTCCATGTGTTCTAATAGATTAGTTTCTGTTCTAAACATCATGGTTAGTAATCCATGAGTAGTTCTTATATGAATCCGGAGCTCATATTTCAATGATCTGCTTCAGGCCCATCAACTCCTCAGACAGTGGGGTATCCATTCTGTGGGAGATCTCTGTGTCCATTCTGGAGTAGATAGTTTTCCCCCTTCACCGCGGCGCACAGTCAGGTTTCAACTCAAGTACTCCCTTCTTTTTAGATGTTTGCATAACTCTGATGTTGTTAACAGCTCTTTACTGCAGTACATGCATATCCTCATGCAGTGGGTGATCATTAGCTCAGCATCTTGTGTCAGTCAGTTGCTGTAAACCTCCTGGTGCTCCGGGCATCTGTATGATTTGAATATATTTCCTCTTGCTGTACGGGTGTTTGTTGTCATGGATGTCAGGAAGGATGCCACTGTTCCCGGGTCATGTGGCCAGTCCCCAGTGACATTGTTTTCTAGATTTGCCAACCATTTGTCTGCATCGGCCATGTTGAATTCCGCAAGGGTTTCCGGAGGAAGTCTGGGTAGCAGATCCGGTGCTTCAAAGGGCTCAACCTCAATTGGGCCCGCAGCTGTAGTGTCGCCTATTTTCCATGTTGACCTCTGGGGAGTGTTCTGTCACGAACAACAGTGAATCAGCTGCCGGTCCCTGTGGTGCGGGTTCTTGGGGTGGTGCTTGCACTGCATGGCCCGTTACAGTCAGCGTGTTGGCGTGCGTTTGCACAGGCATGATAGCCTGAGATGCCTGCGGTTCTTGGAGAGAACCTCTCCTTGGCGCCTGTGGGGGCTCTGATGTATCAGCTTCGTCCGGGGACTCTCCACGGGGGCTCTCTATCATGATGACTCAGTCAGAGGTGAGGTCGCGACGGGCCCTCTTCCGCGGATTGTTGTTTGCTGTAGATTTGTCCGAGGGTCTGTCCTTGGAGGGTACCAGCCAGTACATTGGCCGATTCCATTTGGCTTGCTCAATTCTTTCCAGCTCTTTCTTCCTTGCCAGGCAGGCATTGCTCCATGCAGTGTGAGTTCCTTTGCAAACAGGGCATTGAGGGGTAAAACCCTCAATTCCCCTTTGATCACAGTTCTTGGTCTCATGTAACTCAGTGCAATAGCCACATGTTTGGGCTGCGTTGCATTGAGTGCTGATGTGGCCGTATCAGTAGCACTGGAAGCATTGCTTGACTCTGCAGGCGCAGTCATATAGTTCACTTGTGTGTATCTGTCCATCCCGTACCATATTGGCATAGATGATGGCATTGGCCATTTCTGAGTCTTTAAATTCCACCACAATTGAGAATGCGGGCTTGGAGGGGGATTCCCGAGTTAATCATCCCACATGTGAGATTTCTGCCTTGGGGATGACAGTGTGGTTGTCTGCAAGTATTTGCTGGATGGTTGTTTCCCAGTCCTTCATATTCATGGTGTTCATTGAGATGCTGTGAACAATTACTCTGTAGATTGGCATCACTAGTTCCACCTGCTTCTCAAGACCCTTGGCCCATGTTCTGTTCTCTTTGAGTCTCTCTGCTTCTGTTACCAAGGATGTGAAGATCTGTATATCACCACTCTTGAGTTGGTGAGCTGCAACCACCACCACTGACTTGGTGATTGTGTGGCTTTTGATAGAGGCTTCAACATGCTGTTTTATCTCAGCCACAGAGAGTACTCAGAAGCGCTGGACAGTTCTGTGATCCTTGAGTTTAACTATGATTGCTCGATCTCTGTATGCCGTGACTGTGGGTTTGGCCTTGGTGGTGGACATGCCTTGAGCAGCTGGTGTTGGTAGTATAGCATTGTCTCTACCACGCGCCACCTGCGCCCAGGACATGGTTGCTTTGCCCTCACTGAAATTGGTGGCATTTGGCGGAGTGGCACTGAGGCCTACAGAATTTTTGATGATTGAGATATCTCTCTGAATGTTCTGCATATATTTAACAGCATTCTGAACATGATGAAGGATGTCGCTCATCGGGGGCTGCTGAAGCACCTTGCCCACGAGTGCAATGGTGAATTTGAGGTATTTTTGCACTATATTCCATGACACTTGATTCTGTCTGCCTTTATCAACAGCCTGCAATTGATGGCATGCTTCTCAAAGGTATGTGGCATGCTCGTTGATGTGCTCCGGGCCATTGTTTACCTGTGGCCACTTTGGCACCATTATCGCGAATTAAACACATTTTCACACATTAATTGCAGTAATTGCCAAAGAGGATACAAGTATACTATTAAGATGATAAAATAATATGTGTTTTCAAAAATTCATTCTGAGCTGGTGATGATGTTTTTCCCTGAGGCTACTATTGCCCGCGGGCTTTTCTTCCCTGCAGGCCTTTCCCCTGAGGCTACTATTTTATTTATTTATTTATTCATAGACTGTTCCAACCGCCCTTTAGGCAGGTATGCAGCGTGCGACTATATAATTAAATACAGGGATTCCTGCTCTTTTCCTTAGAGAGTAAGCTCTTCTTACAAGAATTCTCCTGCTGTCACACAAGTTGTTCCTGCAAGAGTTGCTTGCTCTCTGCCTGAGCTTTCTCTATCTATAGTCTTCCTATCAGTTCTGTGTCTCTGACTTGCCAGGCTCAATAAGGCCTTCCTTCCTCTTCTGTATACTGGTTATACACTCATGCTAGGTATATTGGAGTACTGTGAATGAGACTGCCTTGAATTGGCTGAGTAGGCCTGTCCTGATCATCATCTTTGAGTTGAATCCCAAGTCACATGATATATATATTTTTACCAAGAAGTGGCAGCCTAATAGGCTGCCACCTCTACTATGACTATAAATAGCTGTACCTGCCCTCATAGATAGATTAGTAGAATAATCACACTTGTATACTATTTCAGAGTTCTAACTCTTTGCTGCTTGTACCACCATTGACAAGTTACTGAGAATGCATTTGATGTTCATGCATGAAGTCTTGTCTGCCCACATCCAATGTCTTTCAGCAGATTTTGTGATTGTCATCAATGTTCACAATTGATTCAGTTCAGGGGATTGTTCAGCTGTTGGGTTAGGATTAGCAGCTTGTTTGGCCAGCCTGTCTGTCTCTTTGTTCCCGGGCACGCTGACGTGGGCGGGATCCATCGGAACTGCACATCCCAGCCGGATTCTCAAAGCCTATCAAGTGCTTGTATAGCCTCAGCAAGGATATACTGGCCTGATGAATGCTTGGGGTTCCAAATCACTTGGATGATGACTTGGTTGTCAGTGAAGATGATGTATTTACTAGATGAAGTACCCCCCGCCTGGGCATCTAGCATCTCGAGGGCTCTATTCTCCTCTCACTGTTCAACCGAACAGGATAATCTGCTGTTGTCCCAGCCCCACATCACATGACACTCTTTGCTTGGGGTATTTGTTTTTGCCCCTTTTTCAAATTATTAGCGTCCCCGCGATGGCAGAGGTCCATGATCTGTTTCCATATGCTCACTGAGTCCCTGAATGAGTGGCCTTAGTAGTAGCTGAGTCAGCGTATGACATAATCAAATCAAATCAAAATCAACTAACTAAATTAACATAGCTGGTGCTTTATTCCCATTGTCATCTCAAGTGAATTTTTAGAGTAGCAGTGATCAAGAGTCCTCAGTTGTAAGAGGACCTCGGAGGCGTGGCCGATGACATCTCGGGTTCCTCAGGCTAGTGATGTCCGGGGTTAGCGCCCTTAAGACAGCACAGGTCTTAGGAATGCAGTTCTAGAAACTGCTGAGTCTCTGAACAGATGACCTTAGTCATCAGAACAAAGCCATCATTTCTATGCCTCTGAGCTTTCTACACTATTCCCGAGACCACAGCTTCAAACCCGTTGCTATCTCAAGGCCGCTAACTGCAGACACTGCTGGTCAGAGAATCTCAGGTGTCATCAGTCACAGCTCAGATGCTCTCTTACAATGAAGAACTCATGAGCGGAGCTCTCTGTATTACTACTCACAGTGTTTTATCCTTTCATTGCTTTCATTACAGTCATTCAGAGAGTGTGAGACTGACATCATCATCTCCTTGTTAATGACTGCCTTCTCTTTGAATGCTATAAAAACGGTGTTGGTGCCATTCTCAACTGCCGCATTGAAGTACTGTGCGGGGGTAATCATATGTAGGTTCTTGTCATAGAATGTTGCATGTCAATTTTATGCATCTTTCTTGGCTGCATACATTCTTTCTATGCCACTTCCTCATCGCGTACTTGTCTATCTCCAATGCCATAATTATTGTCAGGTAGGAAAATGTCCTCAGCTTCATTTTTCATCATTGAATGTATGTGAAGAAATGGAACTTCTCTGTGTACTGAGGCTATGGTATTTAGTATTTTGTGAGGCTTGGGAATTTTTCAGTGTGTTGAAGATAGATTCTATGCTATTTCTGACTCTTCAATTCTGTAAATTGTTGTCAGAAATATAAAGGAGAAAAGTCTATGCTTCATTCAGAGATGTATCAGTCAAGTTGAAGAAAGAGATGTATCAGTTAAGGCATCAACATACAGGTTCTTCTTTTAAATGATTGCAATTCTAACAGAAAGAAATCAGAAAGAAGTAGGAATATAGATACAAGTAGTCACTGAACTCAGAAGAATAGAGTCAATAACACGCCTGCTACTATCACTTATTCCTCTTCAAGTCGCGATATCGCATCTTCGTACACCTTGATTATCAGATTATAGAGTCTTTCTGATTCTCTCAGTGTGTCAACAATCAGCTTATTCTTCTCAAATGAAAACAAGATGTCTCATATAGCTCTGCAGACTGATTTAACATATTCAAATTCTGATAGAAACTCTATTAAAAGATATTTGAACTCATCAGCTTTCATGTTCTCTCATTTATAAGTTGTGATATCTGTATAGATTCTGATGTATCACTTATTAAGTATACTGTTCTTAGCATGGCTGAGCTGGCACTCTTCTGACATTTCTCAGCTATAACAGACACATTGTCAGATCAGCATATAGAAGAAAGATTCAAGGTCATACTGATATATATAATTAATATTAAGAAGTATCTTAATAATCATGAATTTCATGATACTGATCTGATGTTGCATCTCACTTCATGTACTGATTTCTTTGATGAGATTCAGATTGATCAGCATGCTCAAATAACTGTTAACAGTCTTCAGATCAGTAATAATAATGTTATTCTCAGATATGTCTCAGTGTAGAATGTTGTCTTCTCTGTGAAGAGACTGATATACCTTGCTCTGCATCTTGAAGCAAGTTATATACACAATCAAGAAAGTCAGTTAACAGATATCTTGTGATAACAGTAAGTTCATCTTGTGATAATTCTGTCATTCTCGCAATGCAAGCTGCTACAGAATTGTGAGAGTTGCTTGAAAAGGCAGCTCTGACAAATCAGAAAGAAGTCTTCAGAGATGTACTAAGATAGCAGACACAAGTGCAGAAGAGAAATTACTTAATTCTGAGATAATATCAAGTGATTTTTCTTCTCACTCATTCTTCACTATTTTGCTTTAAAAGGCTTATAATCTTAATAGCTAATATTTTACAGAATTACTTTCTAGAATACAATAGATATTTGATAAATTAGTGACTGTGCAATGTGCATACATGAATCTCACTCTCAAGTTGAGCATCAATTCACTTAAGAGATGCTGCTTTTTGATGCCTGACAGTGGTAGAAAGCAGCAGGATGAAAAGACATGAAACTGTTTCTATCAACATCAAAAGTGTTTGGTCTCAGAAGAGTGTAAATATTTGATAATTAACACTCTTTAAAGAGCAGTGTTTACTCAGACATATCTTGTTTACAGATGCAGTCTTGAATTAAACATGATCACTTCTTTTCTTCAAGTTTGTTTCTCTAATCTTGGCATCACTATTCAGCCTGCATTGAAATGTCTTTTCATAGCTAAAATATGCAGATCATCTGGCCATTTTCATCACAGCAGTGCTGAGGAGAAAAGTTTGATACAGGTGAATTCTCTTGTATTCTCAGAATGCTCTGCTGTGTGTCATGAGAGACTGTGTACTAGCTCAACAGATACTGTGTTTTTTTCCCAATTTTGACTTGAAGATATTCATCTGTGATAAAAGATTTTAAGCAACATTCAAGAGCAGCTATAATGTTATATTATCAGTTGACTTCTCTAACTAATATTTCTACTGAATTTTCAGAAAGTGTACTATCTGTAACCTGAACACTGTTTATCACACATAATTTTGAATTTGAATTTTAACAGTTCTGAGATGAGAGATCAGCTGCTTTGATTTCCCTGACTCATGTTCATAATACATACTTACAGATAACACTTACTGATACTTTGATATTAATATAACTGCTCTTTATCAATACTTCTACATCACTGAGCTTTGAAGCACATGATGAGATCATCTCTTGAGTCATGAAGTATTTTTAAATGTGTGAGAGATTTTCTGTTGAACTTCATCTCAAAGCTTTAAAACTGTCTATTCATATGACATGCTTCTATATTACCAGAATCTCATGCATTGATGCCTAATATATTGTTGTGATTTCATCAAAGTGAGAAGTTTAAACACAAAAACCACATGAAGAATCACTTCAGCATGTGATATTATTTTAGAAAAATTTCAGCTCTCTCTCTGAAAAATTGCCAGTTCTCTCATTATGAGAAGAAAATGATGCACTGTGTTCACTTGATAATAAAATCAGCACATGAGATAGGTGATGAGGTCATTCAGAGCTTATCTTCACTTTGATAACTGTTGTTTTGTTCTTATTACTCTGAAGGTCTCAGGTCATGATAATTATTATAACTCTGTAACTGCTTCACATTGACAGTCTGTGTATGATTAGCATCAGAGTAAGACACGCAGTCACTACAGCTTTCATCATCACTGTCACACAGACACTTGAATGCTGCTTGAACAGGTTTGCTTGATCACTTTCTAGAAAGAGAGTTACTAGTTGAGCTAGTTATGCTTTGTACATCTTAAATACTCTTCATCACTGACATTTCTGACACAGAGGTGTGCAACTGTTTATCATGACCAGAAGAATCTGATGAGAGTGTGTTATCACTGCTCACTGTCATAGCAGCAATAGTCTTCTGAAGTTTGCAGAAGCAATTCTCAGAGTAGTACTTCAATAATAGGCATTTTTGAATCAGCTGCTGACATCACACTGCCATCAAGAGATCATAAAAAGACATGACAGTCAATG